AAAGTCATAAAATATGTATAAGATTTCACGGAAAATTTCAAAATAAACCAACCCTTCCACTCTTTGTGGGCTAACAGAGCAACTATTACAGATGAGGATACTAAATGAAGAGTTCATTTTATTTATTTAACCTTATATTTAACCTTCCTGCTATCATCAACCACCATATATACTTAATGATTATTGCGCAATAATCACAATTAAAAGCACTTTCAAATAGTAATTAGACGATATCATATAGTCACTCAACCACTTGTCATACAATATACCCATCAAAATAATGAATGTTTGATGATATTTTCCATATAGGGAGACCATTAACCTTACAAGTCGTTCAAATGCATTGAATAATTTTTTTTTGATCAGCATCACTCTCGTAGATTTATTGGTCATAGATTATATTCCAGATCCAAATAATTCAAACGATTTATATTTATTTAAACAAAAAATTTGCAATAAATCTTTTGCAAATGTTACTCTTAATTTATATAATTTCTATTTGAATTATGATTTAATTGTGAAAAAAGATTAGTCAGATTCATATTGCGATTCTGTGATTACAATTTAAAAGTCATTTAGAATCTAAACATCAATAAGTAATATAATACAAATATTGAAGTCATTCGAGTATTGTCGCCATGGGCACCACGTCGATTGTTTTCGGAATATTATTTATGTGGGTTACTCTAAGGATAAGTTATAATGAAAATGTAAGAAAATACCGATGTTTTACCGAATTTTAAAGAAGTACGTGTTTACAGGAGGCGATCGAATTCAAAATGAAGAATGTGGATTGTCACAGCTACAACAAATCTCTGGTTGTCATAAACGAGTGCCGACTGAGGGCTATAAATCGGCATAAGACGACGTTTAATTTTAATGGAACTTTACTATTTCCGGTCAACAAAATAACTGTCGAAGAACAATTCTTTAAGAGAGAAAGCGGCTACAAGCCTTGGCTCTATAACCTGTCAATCGACGCCTGCCGTTTCTTGAGGAAGCCATACAATCCAATTGCAATACTTGTGTATAAATTGTATAAAGAATTTACCACCATCAACCACACATGTCCCTACGTGGCAAGTATTACAACAAAAAATACTCTGTACTCATCGAAATGATGAATTTAATTCAGTACATGGTATTTCCTGTTCGAGCACTCTCGACTAGATCAGTCTGATAACTCCATTAACACTAAATACCGTTTTTATAGGGTACTCAAATCATTGATGGATTCTATCTACGATCAAACGTTTTACAAAATATGTGGCCAACCGGGGAGTATCGATTGAATTTAAACTTCATATTTAACAAAAGGCCAGCTCTTTATGTTAATGTCTACTTCATCTTTACAGAGGATTTAATATAAAATAATTTGAAGTATATCCTTGTAATAGATTTGTTAATTAATACATTATTCATCGGAATATAATTTGATTTTCTTTTCCCATATCGACATAAAGAAGTATTTTTTAAAGTAACTTTGTTATTGTAGAAAATGTATTATTCCACAACAAGTCTATTTTGTATGTGCCTATGATATATGGATGATATCAAATCTTGCTCGTAAATTATTTTCCACAACCCAATAACTCAAATTAATAAAGATACACACACACAATATTTAAACATTATTATTGCTTTCTTAATTCAAACATCATAGCAGAGTATTGAAATTCTATGTAATTAAAAGTTCGTAGAAGTGTTCAAATTAAATAACATTAACTGATTTGTTTTGTTTTTGCGTTATTACAATTATAAAGTAATTACTTCTAAAATAAATGATGCAGTATAATATAAATTCTAAATTACCGTTTTAAGTCTGATAAATACTGAAACTCATTCGAGTATTGTCGCCATGAGCACCACGTCGGTTATTTTCGGAATATTATTAATCTGGATTGCTGTAATTCTAAGTTACAATGAAAATGTAAGATCTGATCGATTTGTGACAAAATTTTAAACAAATGGACTAATTTGATTACGTGTTTACAGGAGGCGATCGAATTCAAAATGACGAATGCGGTTTGTCACAGCTACAACATATCTCTAGTTGTCATACACAAATGCCGACTGAGGGCTATAAATCGACATAAAACGACGTTTAATTTTAATGGAACTTTTCTTTTTACGGTCAACGAAGTTACTGTCGAAGGACAAGTCTTTAAGAAAGAAAATGGTTACAAGCCTTGGCTCTTTAAAACATCAATCGATGCCTGCCGTTTCTTGAGGAAGCCATACAATCCAATTGCAATAATTGTGTATAAATTGTTTAAAGATTTTACCACCATCAACCACACATGTCCCTACGTGGCAAGTATTACTCCAAAAAATACTCTGTACTCATCGAAATCATGAATTCAATTCAGTACATGGTATTTCCTATTCGAGCACTCTCGACTAGATCAGTCTGATAACTCCATTAACACTAAATACCGTTTTTTATAGGGTACTCAAATCATTTATGGATTCTATCTACGATCAGACATTTTACCAAATATAATGCCAACCGGGGAGTATCGATTGAACTTAAACTTCATATTTAACAAAAGTCCAGCACTTTATGTTAATGTCTACTTCATCTTTACAGAGGATTTAATATAAAATAATTTGAAGTATATCCTTGTAATAGATTTGTTAATTAATACATTATTCATCGGAACATAATTTGATTTTCTTTTCCTATATCGACATAAAGAAGTATTTTTTAAAGTAACTTTGTTATTGTAGAAAATGTATTATTCCACAACAAGTCTATTTTGTATGTGCCTATGATATATGGATGATATCAAATCTTGCTCGTAAATTATTTTCCACAACCCAATAACTCAAATTAATAAAGATACACACACAATATTTAAACATTATTCTTGCTTTCTTAATTCAAACATCATAGCAGAGTATTGGAATTCTATATAATTAAAAGTTCGTAGAAGTGTTGAAATCAAATAACATTTACTGATTTGTTTTGTTTTTGCGTTATTACAATTATAAAGTAATTACTTCTAAAATAAATGATGCAGTATAATATAAATTCTAAATTAACGTTTTAAGTCTGACAAATACTGAAAGTCATTCGGGGTTTGTCACCATGAACAACACGTACATTGTTTTCGGAATATTACTTATGTGGGTTACTCTAAGGATCAGTTATATTGTAAATGTAAGAGCCGATCGATTTTTTTTTACCGAATTTTAAACAAGTGCCTGCTTACAGGAGGCAATCGAATTCAAAATGAAGAATGCGGATTGTCACAGCTACAACAAATCTCTGGTTGTCATAAAAGAGTGCCGATTGAGGGCAATAAATCGGCATAAAACTACGTTTAATTTTAATGGAACTTTTCTACATTCTGTTATCGAAGTTATTATCGAAACGCAATTGTTGAAAAAAGCCAATGGCTACAAGCCTTGGCTCTATAAAACGTCAATCGATCCCTGCCGCTTCGTGAGGAAGCCATACCATCCAGTTGCAATAGTTATTTAGAAGTTGGCTAAGGAGTTTACCAACATCAACAACACATGTCCCTATGTGGCAAAAATTACTCCAAACAACGTATTCAGCTCTAATTACACCAAATGCCAATTTTCGTAATCTTTAATGGACTTCATCTTCAATCAAGGATTTTGCCCAATCCGTTGCCAACCGGGGATTATCTATTGGACCTATTATTGCGATTTAACACGAACCCAGCATTTGCTCTAAAGTTCTACTTTACATTTACTGAAGATCTATTATGAGATACTTTGATGTATTTTTTTGATATACATTATGTTTGATATGTGAATACATTACACATCTTTGATTTATTACAAATTGCAGATTTATTGAGTCAGCAATTACAATTGTATTCGATGATTATATTCAACAATCCAAGAATTGCTGCCGCTTGAGTAAAATAACAAAACAAAACAATATTAATTGAAGGCCATTTCTAAATACTCTGATACGAATAAGTTATACCACCTGATAACAAGTGTCACCGAACAAAGTGGGTATAGCCAACAAATATCGACCTTTGAAAGAGATTGAAAGAGTGGGCGTGGCTGAAACAAAATTTTTGAAAGGTACGTAGTAATCTTCGTTCCAAGTTTGTTAACTGTAGCTCTTAAATCACGGGAGATATAGGCTTTTATAGTTATTGGCTTCGGGACTGAGCGTGGTCCAAAATTGGCTACAAGCCAGCTGCCTTCCAAGTTTGGTGACTATATCTTTACTTTTGGCTACAGACCAGTATATGCGTCAAGTCCTTATCTCTAAATTTAAATATAAATTAAAAAAGATATGAAATATGTACAAGATTTCTGCGAATATCTAACTGCAAACTGCACCAACCCTTCTTCTCTTTGTGGGCTAATTGAACTCAGCAACTATTCCAGTTGAGGATACTAAATAAAAAGCCAATTTTACTTATATATATATAATATTGTCAAATAACAGTCAACATAAAAAAAATACAAATATAAATTAACCTTCTTGGTACAGTTCCAACCATTATATATATTTTATGATTATTGAGCAATAAACACAATTAAAAGCACTTTCAAATAGTAATTAGCTGATATCTAATAGTCACTCAACCACTTGTCATACAATATACCCATCAAAATAATGAATGTTTGATGATATTTTCCATATAAGGAGACAATTGATCTTACAAGTCGTTCAAATGCTTTGAATAATCTCGTCTAAAGAAAGTAATTTTGATCAGCATCACTCTCGTATATTTATTGCTCATAGATTATATTCCAGATCCAAATAATTCAAACGATTTATATATATTTAAGCAAACACTAGGGTATAAAAAGAAACTGTACTTATAATTTTGCAATTGTTACTCTTAATTTATATAATTTGTATCTGAATTATGATGTAATTCTGAAAAATGATTAGTGGGATTCATGTTGCTTTCCTGTGGTTACAATTAAAAAGTAATTTTAAATCTAAACATCAATAAGTAATACAATAAAAATATTGAATTCATTCGAGTATTGTCGCCATGAGCACCACGTCGATTATTTTCGGAATATTAATAATCTGGATTGCTGTAATTCTAATTTACAATGAAAATGTAAGAACTGGTCGATTTGTGACAAAATTTTAAACAAATAGACTAATTTGGTTACGTGTCTACAGGAGGCGATCGAATTCAAAATGACGAATGCGGTTTGTCACAGCTACAACAAATCTCTGGTTGTCATAAACGAGTGCCGACTGAGGGCTATAAATCGGCATAAAACGATATTTAATTTTAATGCAACTTTTCTATTTACGGTCAACGAAATTAGTGTCGAAGGACAAGTCTTTAAGAAAGCCAATGGTTTTAAACCTTGGCTCTTTAAAGCATCAATCGATACCTGCCGTTCTGAGGAAGCCATACAATCCCAATTGCAATACTTGTGTATAAATTGTTTAAAGATTTTAGCAACATCAACCACACATGTCCCTACGTGGCAAGTATTACTCCAAAAAATACTCTGTACTCATCGAAATGATGAATTCAATTCAGTATCTCCTATTCGAGCACTCTCGACTAGATCAGTCTGATAACTCCATTAACACCAAATACCACTTTTTATAGGGTACTCAAATCATTAATGGATTTTATCTACGATCAAACCTTTTACATAATATGTGGCCAACCGGGGAGTATCGATTGAACTTAAACTTCATATTTAACAAAAGTCCAGCACTTTATGTTAATATCAACTTCATCTTTACAGAGGATTTAATGTAAAATAATTTGAAGTATATCCTTGTAATAGATTTGTTAATTAATACATTATTCATCGGAATATAATTTGATTTTCTTTTCCCATATCGACATAAAGAAGTATTTTTTAAAGTAACTTTGTTATTGTAGAAAATGTATTATTCCACAATAAGTCTATTTTGTATGTGTCTATGGTATATGGATGATATCAAATCTTGCTCGTAGATTATTTTCCACAACCCAATAACTCAAATTAATAAAGATACACACACACAATATTTAAACATTATTATTGCTTTCTTAATTCAAACATCATAGCAGAGTATTGGAATTCTATATAATTAAAAGTTTGTAGAAGTGTTGAAATCAAATAACATTTACTGATTTGTTTTGTTTTTGCGTTATTACAATTATAAAGTGATTACTTCTAATATAAATAATGCAGTATAATATAAATTCTAAATTAACGTTTTAAGTCTGACAAATACTGAAAGTCATTCGGGGTTTGTCACCATGAACAATTGTTTACATTGTTTTCGGAATATTATTTATGTGGGTTACTCTAAGAATAAGTTATTATGTAAATGTAAGTCCAGGTAAGAGGTTTGCCCTAATGTTAAGATAATTTCCATTTTCTATAAAAATAATGAATGCTTAATGATATCTTCCAAATAGGCAAACAATTGATCTTACAAGTTGTCGAAATGGTTTGAATAAACTTTTTTAAATAGTGATCAGAGAAGGGTAACTGTCTGTTTTAATTTTCAAGTGAATGTGTTTGGTAATTAAAATATCATTCAAGTTTTGCAGTGTTCAAGTGAAAAGATCTACCATTTAAAAAAGATCAGTAAGATCCATTTTGCTTTTGCGTTGTTACAATTAAAAAGTGATTTTAACTCCAATCATCAATAAGTAATATAATAAAAATATTGAAGTCATTCGAGTATTGTCGCCATGATCACCTCGTCGATTGTTTTCGGAATATTATTAATCTGGATTAGTCTAAATCTAAGTTACAATGAAAATGTAAGAACCGACCGATTTTTGACTGAATTTTAATCAAATTAACCAATTTGATTACGTGTTTACAGGAGGCGATCGAATTCAAAATGACGAATGTGGATTGTCACATCTACAACAAATCACGGGTTGCCATACACGAGTGCCGACTGAGGGCTATAAATCGGCATAAAACGATATTTAATTTAAATGGATCTTTACTATATTCGGCTAACGAAGTTACTGTCGAACTACAAGTCTTTAAGAAAGCCAATGGCTACAAACCTTGGCTCTATAAATCGTCAATCGATGCCTGCCGTTTCTTTAGGAAGCCATACAATCCAATTGCAATACTTGTGTATAAATTGTTTAAAGAATTTAGCAACATCAACCACACATGTCCCTACGTGGCAAGTATTACTCCAAAAAATACTACTCTGTACTCATCGAAATGATGAATTCAATCAGTGTTATAACTCCATATACATCAAATACCAATTCTTATAGGGTAATCACATCATTAATGGATTTTATCTACGATCAGACATTTTACCAAATATAATGCCAACCGGGGAGTATCGATTGCGCTTAAATTTTATGTTTAACAGAAGGCTAGATGTTCATGTTAATGTCAACTTCATCTTTACAGAGGATTTAATATAAAATAATTTGAAATATATCCTAGTAATAGATATGTTAATTAATACATTATTCATCGGAACATTGTTTTCGGAATATTATTTATGTGGGTTACTCTAAGGATAAGTTATAATGTAAATGTGAGCTCATGTAATAGAGTTTGCCTAATTTTAAGTTAATTTCGATTACTGTTTACATGAGATGGTCGATTGCCCGCCTGCGCGCTATAATAATTTTATTGGAACTATTCTACTTTCAAACATTCAAATTGTGTAAAGGCTACATAAATGATATTTTTTGTATTTTGTCGCTGAATAGAGTTCCGGTTTAACAAGGGGGCCTGCGTGTTGCAGGACTGCTATTTTTCTGATACCAATAACTTATACCAACCGGAGGATTGTCCTCCAAGTTTGCCTTTAAATATCGGTTCTTAAAGGCAGCTATTAGAAATTCACCTACCAAATTTGACGGCGGTAACTCAAAAACTGGAGCATATATATCCATTTAAAATCTGTATCGGATTTCTGTGGCTTTATCGATTTACTTGCCTCCTAGTGCACGTAGGACGCAAATTTTTACACTTTGTCTGACGCGGCCACATACCGGTATATGCGTGAAGTCCTTATCTCTAAGGGTATCGGTATTCGAATAACCAATATGCATCTATATATCAAAAATAATAATAATAAATATTAATAAAATACAAAAAGTAAAAAATAAATTAACTTAAACTAAAAATTAAATTTAATAATAAAAAGATATGAAATATGTATAATATTTCTGGGAATATCTAACTGCAAAATGCACCAACCCTTCTACTCTTTGTGGAATAATAGAACTCAGAAACTATTCCAGCTGAGGATACTAAATGAAAAGTTAATTTTATTTATTTATATATATTTAATGTTGTCAAATAATAGTCAACATAGAAAATTACAAATATAAATTAACCTTCTTGGTACAGTTACAATCATTATATGATTATTGAGCAATAATCACAATTAAAATCACTTTCAAATAGTAATTAGATGATATCATATAGTCACTCAACCACTTGTCATACAATATACCCATCAAAATAATGAATGTTTGATGATATTTTCCATATACGGAGACAATTGATCTTACAAGTCGTTCAAATGCTTTGAATAATCTTTTCCAAATAATGTAGTTTTGAACAGCACCAGTATTGGCGATTTATTGCTCATATATTATATTCCAGATCCAAAGAATTAAATGATTTATATTTATTTAGGCAAAAACTAGGGTATAAAAATGTATAATTTGCAATTGTTACTCTTAGCTTATATAACTTGTATTTGAATTATGATATAATTCTGAAAAATGATTAGTGGGATTAATATTGCTTTTCTGTGGTTACAATTAAAAAGTAATTTTAAATCTAAACATCAATAAGTAATAAATAAGTGATAAATAAAAATATTGAAGTCATTCGAGTATTGTCGCCATGATCACCACGTCGATTGTTTTCGGAATATTATTAATCTGGACTACTCTAAATCTAAGTTACAATGAAAATGTAGAAACCGACCGATTTTTGACCGAATTTTAAACAAATTAACCAATTTGATTACGTGTTTACAGGAGGCGATCGAATTCAAAATGACGAATGTGGATTGTCAGAGCTACAACAAATCTCTGGTTGCCATACACGAGTGCCGACTGAGGGCAATAAATCGGAATAAAACGACGTTTAATTTTATTTTATTTTATTTTTTCTATCTACGGTCAACGAAGTTACTCTCGAATTTCAACTCTTTAAGAAAGCCAATGGCTACAAGCCTTGGCTCTATAAATCGTCAATCGATTCCTGCCGATTCTTTAGGAAGCCATACAATCCAATTGCAATACTTGTGTATAAATTGTTTAAAGATTTTACCAACATCAACCACACATGTCCCTACGTGGCAAGTATTACTTCAAAAAATACTCTGTACTCATCGAAATGATGAATTCAATTCAGTACATGGTATTTCCTATTCGAGCACTCTCGGCTAGATCAGTCTGATAACTCCATTAACACCAAATACCGTTTTTTATAGGGTAATCACATCATTAATGGATTTTATCTACGATCAAACCTTTTACATAATATGTGGCCAACCGGGGAGTATCGATTGAACTTAAACTTAATATTTAACAAAAGTCCAGCACTTTATGTTAATGTCTACTTCATCTTTACAGAGGATTTAATATAAAATAATTTGAAGTATATCCTTGTAATAGATTTGTTAATTAATACATTATTCATCGGAACATAATTTGATTTTCATTTCCTATTTCGACAGAAGAAAGTATTTTTTAAAGTAACTTTGTTATGGTAGAAAATGTATTGTTCCACAACAAGTCTATTTTGTATATGTCTATGATATATGGATGATGTCAAATCTTGCTCGTAGATTTTTTTCCACAACCCAATAACTCAAATTAATAAAGATACACACACAATATTTAAACATTATTCTTGCTTTCTTAATTCAAACATCATAGCAGAGTATTGGAATTATATGTAATTAAAATTTCGTTGAAGTGTTCAAATCAAATAACATTAACTGAGTTGTTTTTTTTTGCGTTATACAATTATAAAGTAATTACTTCTAATATAAATAATGCAGTATAATATAAACTTTAAATTAACATTTTAAGTCTGACATTTACTGAAAGTCATTCGAGTATTGTCGCCATGATCACCTCGTCGATTATTTTCCGAATATTATTAATCTGGATTACTCTAAGTCTAAGTTACAATGAAAATGTAAGAACCGACCGATTTTCGACTGAATTTTAATCAAATTGACCAATTTGGTTACGTGTTTACAGGAGGCGATCGAATTCAAAATGACGAATGTGGATTGTCAGAGCTACAACAAATCTCTGGTTGCCATACACGAGTGCCGACTGAGGGCAATAAATCGGAATAAAACGACGTTTAATTTTATTTTATTTTATTTTTTCTATCTACGGTCAACGAAGTTACTCTCGAATTTCAACTCTTTAAGAAAGCCAATGGCTACAAGCCTTGGCTCTATAAATCGTCAATCGATTCCTGCCGATTCTTTAGGAAGCCATACAATCCAATTGCAATACTTGTGTATAAATTGTTTAAAGAATTTAGCAACATCAACCACACATGTCCCTACGTGGCAAGTATTACTCCAAAAAATACTACTCTGTACTCATCGAAATGATGAATTCAATCAGTGTTATAACTCCATATACATCAAATACCAATTCTTATAGGGTAATCACATCATTAATGGATTTTATCTACGATCAGACATTTTACCAAATATAATGCCAACCGGGGAGTATCGATTGCGCTTAAATTTTATGTTTAACAGAAGGCTAGATGTTCATGTTAATGTCAACTTCATCTTTACAGAGGATTTAATATAAAATAATTTGAAATATATCCTAGTAATAGATATGTTAATTAATACATTATTCATCGGAACATTGTTTTCGGAATATTATTTATGTGGGTTACTCTAAGGATAAGTTATAATGTAAATGTGAGCTCATGTAAGAGAGTTTGCCTAATTTTAAGTTAATTTCGATTACTGTTTACATGAGATGGTCGATTGCCCGCCTGCGCGCTATAATAATTTTATTGGAACTATTCTACTTTCAAACATTCAAATTGTGTAAAGGCTACATAAATGATATTTTTTGTATTTTGTCGCTGAATAGAGTTCCGGTTTAACAAGGGGCCTGCGTGTTGGAGGACTGCTATTTTTCTGATACCAATAACTTATACCAACCGGAGGATTGTCCTCCAAGTTTGCCTTTAAATATCGGTTCTTAAACGCAGCTATTAGAAATTCACCTACCAAATTTGACGGCTGTAACTCAAAAACTGGAGCATATATATCCATTTAAAATCTGTATCGGATTTCTGTGGCTTTATCGATTTACTTGCCTCCTAGTGCACGTAGTACGCAAATTTTTACACTTTGTCTGACGCGGCCACATACCGGTATATGCGTGAAGTCCTTACCTCTAAGGGTATCGGTATACGAATAACCAATATGCATCTATATATCAAAAATAATAATAATAAATATTAATAAAATACAAAAAGTAAAAAATAAATTAACTTAAACTAAAAATTAAATTTAATAATAAAAAGATATGAAATATGTACAAGATTTCTGCGAATATCTAACTGCAAAATGCACCAACCCTTCTACTCTTTGTGGAATAATAGAACTCAGAAACTATTCCAGCTGAGGATACTAAATGAAAAGTTAATTTTATTTATTTATATATATTTAATGTTGTCAAATAATAGTCAAAATAGAAAATTACAAATATAATTTAACCTTCTTGATACAGTTACAATCACTATATGATTATTATTATAAAATCACTTTCAAATAGTAATTAGATGATATCTTATAGTCACTCAACCACTTGTCATACAATATACCCATCAAAATAATGAATGTTTGATGATATTTTCCATATAAGGAGACAATTGATCTTATAAGTCGTTCAAATGCTTTGAATAATCGTTTCCAAATGATGTAATTTTGAACAGCACCAGTATTGGCGATTTATTGCTCATATATTATTTTCCAGATACAAAGAATTAAATGATTTATATTTATTTAGGCAAAAACTAGGGTATAAAAATGTATAATTTGCAATTGTTACTCTTAGCTTATATAACTTGCATTTGAATTATGATATAATTCTGAAAAATGATTAGTGGGATTAATATTGCTTTTCTGTGCTTACAATTAAAAAGTAATTATAAATCTAAACATCAATAAGTAATAAATAAGTGATAAATACAAATATTGAAGTCATTCGAGTATTGTCGCCATGAGCACCACGTCGATTGTTTTCGGAATATTATTAATCTGGACTACTCTAAATCTAAGTTACAATGAAAATGTAGAAACCGACCGATTTTTGACCGAATTTTAAACAAATAGACTAATTTGGTTACGTGTCTACAGGAGGCGATCGAATTCAAAATGACGAATGTGGTGTGTCACAGCTACAACAAATCTCTGGTTGCCATAAACGAGTGCCGACTGAGGGCAATAAATCGGAATAAAACGACGTTTAATTTTAATGGAACTTTTCTATTTACGGTCAACGAAGTTACTCTCGAATTACAAGTGTTTAAGAAAGCCAATGGCTACAAGCCTTGGCTCTTTAAAGCGTCAGTCGATGCATGCCGTTTCTTAAGGAAGCCATACAATCCATTCGTAATAATTGTGTACAAATTGTTTAAAGATTTTACCAACATCAACCACACATGTCCCTACGTGGCAAGTATTACTTCAAAAAAATACTCTCAAAAAGTACCCAATTCAGTACATGGAATCTCCTAGTCGAGCATTCTCGGCTAGACCACTCTGATAACTCCATTAACACCAAATACCACTTTTTATAGGGTACTCAAATCGTTGATGGAGTATATCCACAATTAAACATTTTACCAAATATAATGCCAACCGGGGAGTATCGATTGAACGCAAACTTCATATTTAACCAAAGGCCAGCTCTTTATGTTAATATCTACTTCATCTTTACAGAGGATTTAATATAAAATAATTTGAAGTGTATCCTTGTAAAGATATGTTAATTAATACATTATTCATCGGAACATAATTTCATTTTTCTTTTTTTATCATTTTGCATATGCTTTAAGTTTTTCAAACGAGCAAATTGTGTAATTATATCAAGGATATCACTAAAATGAAGCCACTTCGAATGCAAACGATTTGATTTTATAGTTTTTGACAAAACTTATGCAATTTTTTTCTTTACCAAAATATCTGGACTGAGGTTTCTAATTCGGAGTATTATTGTGCTTCTAATCCATTGAAACAAACTTATCTAATAAGGATAAGTTGATATATCTATTAGGAAAATCTATTATTCCACGACATTTTGCCAATTTTTATGTTATGTGAATGGCATACGTCTTGTTCATAGATTCAACAACCGAATAATTCTAATGACAAAAAAATCCATTTGTCGTGTCAGAAAACATTAATATTGCAATTATTAATGCAAATATAACGAGTAATGTAATAAGCTTAGTAAAATTCTTATTGATCAGAAAAGTAATGAAAGTCATTCGGGGTTTGCCAGCATGAGCAACACGTACATTGTTTTCGGTATATTATATCTGGCTTACTCTAAGGATAAGTTATAATGTAAAACATTTTCACAATCGTCATTTAATCGCTTTAATCAGTAATCGACTACAAATAAATTACTATTGATTATTACTGTTCACGAATAATTTCATTTATTTAACATTTTGCACTAACATATTTATTATAAGAATATACTTCAAAGTATTTTATTATAAATCCTCTGTAAAGATGTAGCTGAATTTAGAGCCCAACAGTGAAGTGTTTTCTGTAATTCAAGCCAAAATCAATAAATATTAACCGGTTGGCCACGGACTTGACAACATATTTGATCGAGGATCTTTCAATAATTGTGTGATTTGCAACAATATTTAACTTTTTAGATTGCATTACTGATTTATATATGCATTGAAAATGACTTTATAATTGTATTACTAATGATTTTAAAACGACAGATAGTGGCCCTTAAATACTGAACGTTTTTTAATTACATAAAGCCGTAATATACATATATCTCTTCAATCCTAAATACTTCAGGAGTTTTATAATATCTTATAATATCATACTATTTGCAATATTGATGTATTTATTTTTTTGTCAGCTTGTTTGGCTGTTTGTCTGCCCCTTCTTCAAGACTAGAAGAGTTAGGTAGTTTTATCGATTCCCTCATATCATATACCTTCACATAATACTGATAGTTAATCAGTTGAGATACACATTCAATGAGTATGCATCTACTCCCGACTGGTGCGTTTCTTACTCGCTTTATTTACATATTTTGTTAAATAATTGGGTAGTGTGCGAGTGTCGGAAAATGGTTTACAATTAAAATCCAAAAATGTTGTTGCCAAAAATTTGAAAGGACTGCCGCGGCAGTAACAGTAAACACGAAGTTGGCAGCAATTAGCAGTGATATATAAATTATTTACCATTTTTGGCATTACCATTAACACAATCCCAAACAATTGCCAAGCCCAAAATAAATTACACAAAAAAAATTACAATAAAATAAGGCAAAAAAAAAAAAAAACAGTTTGTAAAAATATAGAAAAATATTTGATATTTATTTGGGAAATATTTTATGTGCAACTAATGGCGGTAACGTTGCCACAGAGGAGCCCAAATTAAACATTAAATCGATGCTAATCAGACGGTTCCCATGGCAATTTAAATTGCGAATAAAACTATGCTAAATATATATATATATATATTTATGTATATATATATAAATATTATACTAAATATATACTAAAAGCCGGAGCATTAAAGTTATGCGGCACGGCCATTAGCTTGGCAAAATATGCGCAAAATATTCAAATGCATTCTAAATAAATATGAGCATTTTATAAATAGTATAACAGCAGGCAAAAATGTACAAAAAGATACGCACAATAACAAAAATGCATATTCAAATGCAAGCACAGAACAAAAAGGCTGATGGCAACGCTTGAAATGAGATTGACAGACTGGCTGATACCCCTTATTTGATGATACTCTTAAAATATATGTAATCTTCGAGGATTCTTTGGTACATTTTTCTTGAACTACATCTTATAGAAATTTCTGAAAATTTCGTAAATAAATAAATAAATAAAAACAATTATTTTGAAGAATTTTTCTCCAATCTAATTATAAGCACAACAGTGTAAAGCAATAATATAATTTAATTAAGTCTAATATGTTTTCAAATTGGTGCAAAAATATTGAACTTAAGCAAATCAAATATATTTAATTTTATTAAATAAAAATGTTAATTAAGTGAATATAATGCTTATAGATCCAGAGTTCATACAGTTCACATATACCTTTCTTTGTGAATGGCATTCTAAAGGAGCAGTTTCGGAGGATATCGATTATTTGTTATTATATATATTTTTATAGTTTAACCATCACTTTCAATATTCACAGGGTATCTAGAACTATCACTCGTTGCGATATGCACTTGTAATATTCAAATGGATTAACTTTGATCACATGCAAATGAGGGGCAGTATCAGCCGAGGAGGAGGAGGAGCAGCACGGGGCAGGGGAGGCGGTCGCCGTCAAGGGACGCGGCTGTGGCACAAATTGAGCTAATTGCACACTAGATATACGAAACGAGAGGGAGAGTGAGCGATGGAGAATGGAAGAGCGAGAGCGAGCGAAGGGGAAATAGAGAGAGGGGCACATTAATAGCCGCATTAGCATAAAGTGCAGCAAGCATTGTCAGCCTCTCCAAGGACCCACAGGACGACGAGTACCAACGACAACCAGAAACCAGAGTGACAATCGCTAGAAACAACAACAAAAATACAACAACAAAAAACTAAACCCAAATTGCAATATCAGACATTTAGTCTATATGTATGAATCAGACGACAATCAGACAGAATATCCATTTGATTGACATGCCTCAACTCAACTCAACTCAATTCACTCAACGCATCTGCCACACAAATTGACTTCAATTGCATATGTGTAGAGAGCAGCAGAGTGGCAGAGTGGCAGATGGGCACAGTTGAAGAGATTTCAAAAGTTTTGATTTTGATTCAGCGCAAATGGTCCCAAAAGGATTGCTTTGATGGCTTTGTTGTCTATTTAAAATCAAGCAAAGCTTTGGGCATGGAATTCAAATTATTTGACACGATTTGTGAGGTATTCTTTTTTAATGGCTCGAAATTTTTTTAAACCTTTTTAAATGCTTTATATATTTTGGATATTAAGCTGGCTAACTTAATCAAAGCTTTGTAAATTCGAGGTTTTTTTTATAGCCTGGCCAACGTTGTCAATATTTACAGGGTATTCAGTAATAAGCACCTGTAATGTTCGTGTAAAATTGCAAATAAATCTAAAACAGAAATCCTTTCAAAATAAAATCGAAACTTTCAAATGCAATTAAACTAAATTAACAATTAGTTTTGTATTTTTATAGCTATTGTCTGAAAATTAAATGAGTTGATTTTAAGTTTTGAGCTGTGCAAATGAAAAACAATATAAAACCGCTAACGCTTAATGCCAAACTGTTGACTTAATGACAGCACAGTTAGCCACAATGCCAACTTCCAACTGTCAACTGTTAGCTGTCAACTGTTAACTGGCCAAAATAATAGCTGACAGGTGTCATACGCAACTTTTTGCGACTGTTTCCGTTTCCGTTTCCGTTTCCGATTCTATTTTCATTTTTTTACTGGGTTGCTAAAGAACGCAGGATGCAGCAAACTAATTGAAAAGCCCTGCACGGCGTCCAACTTGACGTATACTTAATCTTCTGCAACAAATAGACAGGGTTTATGTTTGTTTTTATTGTTGTTGTTATTTTTTGCTTCATTCTGTGCTTCAATGTCGAGCAGTACACATCAAGTGGGTTAACAGGCAACGAAAAAAAAACCCCAACAGAAAACTTGACACACTGAAAAACTGAAAAGCGCTGAAGATTCAATGCAAACATAAACAAATCAAGCGTGGCAAGAGACGGGTGGCAGGGGGTGGGGCATGACTAAAGTCAACAGTATTTGGGGCTGGGTGGTAGGGATTGTGGTTGCTTGTGTGTTTGCACAGTTACTTTTCCCATACACTTGCAAAAAATCCTTCTTCTAGAATAATCAAATTTCTCTTTGCTGTGTAGAAATCTTTAATAAATGCGACATATATTAAATCAAACTATACCAAAAATATAATAATATTATCAACCTTTCTTAACGTCTTTTTTTTCTGAGTGTAGATACACTACACTAGTCTCTACTTCTTCGCCTAAAATGACGCAGATCAGCACAAAAATTTGTTGTTCAGCTGGCGCCAGCTGGACAGCATGGAAAACATATGGAAATTACATTTGCACAAACAACAACAACAGTATCAAGAACAACAACTACAAAAACAAGAACAACACTTGCAACAGCAACAACAAAGAAATTCCAGCAAACATTATCGTTGCAGCATTTTTCGGTTGAAGTTTTCGTAGGCAATTTTTAGTGTGTGTAGATTTTAGAAAATGAAAACTTGCAACAGCCGCAGCAGCAGCAACAACAACAACAACAACAGGAGAGCGATGTGTGGGGGCAGTGTTGCCTTAGCACTATTGCTAGCCACACAAGTGTGGCCAGAAAGGCACTTAATCATCTTAAACCGTTGTTTGCACGGCTTGCCACAGACGTGGCTGCCACAAAAATACGCAAAACACACAATCACATGCACCCACACACATCCCACACACACGCACACCTACACACACACACTTGCGGCACACTTTAGTGCTACACGTGTTTCATATGCTGCGTTGCACGCAAAACTAAAACAACAAAATC